CTTTGATTCCAACAATACCATTTTAGAACAAACAACATCGATAAGATCAAGAACCCATTGAATCCCACCATCTTCGTTAACCCTCAACCCCTTCACAGCTACAAAATTCATTCCATTACTCAAGCCCTTGTCAATATGTCCTTGAGTCAAGTTTACACTGGTTACAATGTCACCTTGCTTGATGTATGCCCGACATGTGGTTCCATGGTCACATTCATAAAAGTGTTCGAGACGACATTGGTCGCTGCAGTAGGCTACGCAAGAACATTTTGGGCAGGGGGCTACTGGTTTTGTGGAGGATTGGCAATTTGCACAGGTGGCGAGGAGGGTACTGGTGGATGGGGTATTGGCTAGTTGGTTAAGGAGGTTTGTGCGGCGGTCTTGGGTTAGAGTTGATGGTTGGTTGGAGGTTGGTTGGTTGGATGGTGCGGTGACGACTTGAGATGATGGTGGTGTAGTTGGAGATGGATCTTGTTCAGGAGAAGGGGTTGGGTATTCTGGTTGTTGTTGAGGACGAGGAGGTGGTGGGTTTACTTGTTGTTGAGGCCGAGGGGGTTGTGCCTTTGCTTGTTGTTGAGGAAGAGGGGTGTGTGTCTTTATTTGTTTTTGAGGACCGGGAGGAAGTGCGTGTATGGCTTGTTGAGGACGAGGATGGGGTGGTTTTAGTTGTTGTTGAGGACGAGGAAGAGGTTCGTATAACTGAGGACGAGCAGGAGGCGGTGGAGGTGGTAGCTTTTTGGCGCTTTGATCCACTTTGGCGAATGTTTCATTGGGGTTCGCGTCTCTGTGCGTTTTGATTATCAGTTTCCCCTTGTCGATTGCCGATTGGAATTGTTCACGGAGGCTACATAAAGTTTTACTGATGGGGGATAGATCTGACACTGAACAACCCGTGCGTTGAAGTTCACCATCGATGACCGCTTTGAAAATTTTGTCAAACTTGGTGTAAAGAGTTTCCAAGTCGTTAAGGTTGCAATAGTCGGATTGCAAGGATGTCATTCCGTGGAGGTAGATTGCTTGAGCTCGGAGTGCTGGGTGTTCGGTTGGGTCGTTCATGATAACCTCCCAACCTTGAGTGTCCGTAGTTTCGATTTTAAGCCTTTTGTCAAGGATGAGTTTACGATACTCGTCGAGACATTACAGGCGAGTTTGAATTTCTTTGGATTGAAGCTTTGTAAATGGGTGGTTTTTGGTGTCTTGGAACTTTTTTAGTAGGAACGTGGCAGCTTCGCGAGTCATTCCACCCTCAATGAGCAAATTCATGGTTTGGTAAGTGTCGGTTTCTAATTCGACGAGGTGTTTTAGATGGATATTATCGCCGGTCATCGTGGGTTATCTTTGCCGGTGATGATTACTATGTTGAGTATTTCAAAATGCGAGAAAGTTTTTGGCGAGAAAAAAGGGAGAATAGGTTCGCAAGTTAATGATGTTTTACTAAACGCATAGATTTACCCCACATGGCGGACATCCCTTCCTTTTGTGCACGTGATTTTAATGAGATGCTAACGGAGAGCGAAAAAAGGAATGACAATACTAATAACCGGATATGTGGAAGCGTATGAAAGGTGTGTATATTAGGATCAATTTACAAGCAGCGAGAAATTATAGTGCCCAGGATTTACACAATGGGCAATCTCGTTGTTTCCCCTCCATTTTCTCTTTCATTTCCTCCTTTTTGCTTCCATCTCATATTTTATTTTTTTTCTTTAACTTTCCACTCTGTCGCTCATTAGTAGTTCATCACCTATCATGGCTTACCAACAACCACAGCAACAACAGGCGCCGTCGACCCACCAACTGCCAGGTGCAGACTCGGTAGCCAGCGTTTACCAAAATGTCACCGCCCTAAACAACGCAGGACAGTTTCGCGAGGCAGCAACCTACCTTCTCAAGACCTTCATTGAAACTAGATACGATTCAAGAAACCAGCCTCCTGAACCAGATGACAGCAAGTTTGCTCGTTTAAACTTTCGTCTCGAATGTATGACCGAATATCGCAGGCTCATTTCGGAAATGTTAAATTTCGACATGGATCCTTTCGACAGCCAAGCGCTTCCTTACATCACCAACGATCCAATTGACCACCCTGCTTTCCGCGCTCAAGCGGCCTATATCCATGGAATGATGTGTTTGAAGATAGGCGACAGTCTCGCACAAGACTTGTTCGTCGAGTTTTCAAAGCTTGTCGATACGATGATAACGGATGAACTCAATGTCGGCGCAACGCTCTCAACCTTATCGCCGGTCGCCCAAACCTTGAAGCAGTTGATGGAACACTTTGTAAAGGCTATTGGAATTGATACCTTGAAGTTGACTCAATATATGAAGAAAATGAAAAGTCTCGCGATCACTACTGCCAGGACTATGGCTTCGTTCAGGCACAACGAGAGAGCTCGTTCTGAGGAATCTACACCTTCCTGGACCCAAGCTATTAAACGTGTCGGTGACCAATTTACCCTCAACAACGAACAAAAGAATATTCTTCGCGCCAGGTTATCCATCACTCCGTCGAGCGCTGCCATCCTCTCTTGCTGTGCAAATTGTTTCACCATCGCGCGTCCTTTGAAAGCTTGTGATCAATGTAATCGAATCGTTTTTTGCAATGAAAAGTGTCGCGTTGAATACTCGCAAGCATGTCACCACGCATTGATTTGTCGTCCTCCCAAGCAATTTAAGATTGGAGATGTTGTTGTGACCTCTGATTTGGACCAAAAGCATATTTCGCTGAAGGGTTTACGAAACGGGTTGCACTGTTTGATGGTTAATGATGGTGTTCAAACTTGTGATGGGGAGATTCATTGTGTGCTTGAACCTATTGATCAGTTTGTTTTGGGAAAAGTTTATTTGGTATCAAAGTTTTTGACATTGAGGATTCCGGTTGAGGAACTCAATGAAATTACGGTTTAAAGTAGTTCACACAAGCTTTTACTTTTCCATCATTCTCCAAAGTTACCACTTAGTTCCTCATTATTACGTCAGTTTCTTTGGAGATTGGTGGGCTGGCGTGTTTCCTATTTTCTTTCTTTACATTCTTTTCTTTCAAAACTGGTGGGCTCGCGACGTGCTGGACATTTTCTCAAATTAGAAAAGTATTCACTTTTTCGTTTCTTATCAGAAGACTTTCTTATCAAAACTTTTGGGCTGGTGTTTTGGTTTTGGGGAGGAGGTTTCTAATAAAAGCATTGATTTTGTTTTTCTATGCGTCCTTTGATGTTGAAAAAATCGTCATAACTAGCAAGATTGCTTGAGAAAGCGAAAATCTCTTCGAATTTCATTTTTTCCACGATTGTTGTATAGATCAGCTTTCATCTTGTTTTTGAGGGAGACATTTGGTTATCAAAATAGAATCGACTCGAGTCATTTTTGCAGCTACAGCGATGATGGCGGACGATGAAGACCGGCAGCGACTTGAAGATTCCTATCTCGAGACCCTCAACCATGCAATCAACGAGTACAAAAAAGTTCGTGTCCTAATTAATGAAGGACAACTTCGTGAAGCTGCCACCTCGCTCCTGGAAATGTTTATCGTTACTAAATATGATCACCTAAATCGACCACCTGAAGTCAATGAGAACCAACTGTTTCGGTTTAGGTTTCGTTATCAATGTATGGTAGAATACCAAGATATCATTACCAACAACAAAGTTGATCCAACTTCTTTCGACCACCAATCACTCAATGTAATCGCCAATGACGAAACCGAGCACCCCGCACTTCGTACCCAAGCCGCCTTTGTAAATGGAGTTTTAAGTACCAATATTGGCGACCAAGAACTGGCGTTTAAATCTTGGCAAACCTTCAACGAACAAAGTGAACAAGTTTTAGAATACAATCATAATTTTGTCCCTTCACTTGCTACTGGCTTATTTGCACTTGGTTTCGTCAATCTCGTGATGGATCTTGGCAAACGGTTCAAAACAATTATGGAAGTCACTGTCCTCAACGTGGATACCAAGGATTCTAATGAATAGATGAACGGGGGTTTTTTAGGCTCTATGTTGATGTACTGTGCACTGTTCGTTTGCTATAACTTTTTTAAAATAAAGAAAATATTCAAACCATTAACAGTTTGTTGGATTGCAAGTTTGAAAGCTCTTGAAAAAGGGACTCAATTGAAGGAGGCTGCGTGCTCGAAACATTTGTATGTGGAACTCAATTCGTTTGTGACAATTTTCCAACCTTCTATTCATAAGACTCATTTACGTAACAGCACAGATTGCAGAAACCATTTAGAAACAAAGAAGTCGCTGAGTAACCATCGAGTTTTAGAAAACAACACAATCGCGATATTCGATATGCTGAAACCATTAGCTGAAGCAAATGAGCAACAACTCTCACGTGTTTTTCAGTACGTTTCAATGATCTTTCTTTTGGCTCCATGTATCATCGAGACCACATAAAGAAATTCTCATGCATTGTTACCTGTTTCGACGAGGTTGTAAAATTTTGAAACCACCAATGCTGTGGGTAGTTCCTGTACCAATACCACACGATTTACTAAAATCGACATCAGCTGCTATGGCGCGATTGGCTAGCGCGTTCGTCAACGAACAAAGTGAAAGGTTTTAGAAAACAAATACACTTTGGTCCCTTTGCTTGCTACTGATTATATGCACTTGGTTTCCTCAATCTTGTCATGGATCTTGGCAAAAAGCTTTTTTGGGCGACGAGGTTCCAAGCTCAAAATGGTTATAAATAAAACTCGATCCGTTTGTGACAATTTTCCAACCTGCTTTTAATGATCATTTATCCAACAGCAGATATGGCAGATAGACACAAGATAGATAATATCAAACCATTAGCTGTAGTAGCAAGTGGGCAACAAATCTCACGTGTTGTCACGTTTCAATGATCTTTCTTTGGAACCCATGTATCATGGGGTGCGTATAATGAAATCTCATGGTTTGTAAGGGGTTTAGACGCGTTTCTAAAATTTTTAAATCACCATGTCGTCCGATACTTTCGGTACTTATACTACACGATTTCCAGAATCGACATCAGCTGCTATGGCGCAATTGGCTAGCGCGTTCGGCTGTTAACCGAGAGGTTGGTGGTTCAAGCCCACCTAGCAGCGCCCCCAGCTTGTCGGAATAGGCATTATTCATCCTTTTGTATCCTTTCTTCATCCTTTTGTATCCTTTCCTTAACTTTGCGGTTCTATTTTTGCATCAATTTCTCCCTTGAAGACACACCACTCAAAATTTTTTGGCTGTAACTTGTCACTATGAGAAGGTTTCTAAACACAACCTGCTGTCGTTATGCATTATTTCTTGTTGCAATTGATGTTCTAAGGGTCGCATTTTATTCTCCTTGCTACTGAGGTTTTAACGCGGGATCAGTAACAATATTCGATTTACAAAGTGGGGTTCAACCCTGGTCTTGAGACGGTGCCCCTTTACTCTCGGGGTTCCGGCCCTGGCGTTTCAAACGTCGCCCCATCTTCTCTTAACAGTGGGATCAATCCCCATTACTCTTTCGTTAGGCGCGTCGTGGTTATCTTCGTATATAGTTTACCTACGTATCTATTTTCCTTTTTTCTCGTTTGCTCAGTTTCTTGCATGCAGACGAGTTACTGGATTGAAATGAAAACCCTACTCAAACTGGGATAACTTCCAACAGAACTATTGTTGAAAACTTTAAAAAAACGTTGCGACCAATAAACAACCGTTCGGAACCAACCAAACCCGAGGTTTCTGCACACACGGCAAAACTTTAATTTGCTTGAATTCCAAAAGCAATTTGTCCGCCAACAAAGTGCAGATGTATCTATCTTTAATTGTCACTTCAGCTTGTTATTGTGTTCAGTTGTTTACCTCATTTCAAAAAAGTAACTATTTCTTATCACAACATGTGGTGCTTGACGCTGTTTCACACGTTTATTTATTATTTCAAAGCACACGTTTATTTTTCTTGACGCATTTTATACACACGGCACTCGCGTACAAGAATAGTACAGTGGGAATGATAATCAACTTAATGAGACATATGTGGTGAATGCTAAGGTGGATGTGAAGCTATTTGGAGGAATGTGTATACAGAAGTAGCTCGTGGAATTAAAAGAAAACGCCAAATAGCTCGACTTGCAAGGACACCGTCCAACCTGTAATATCACCTTCCCATCATTATTATGAGATAGATGTCATTTGTGACGAATTTCTTTTTTTTGCGACATTATCATACGTGATAAATATAAATATACATGCTATGTTGATATTTACAATCTAACAAAAGATATTTACAATCTGAAAAAAAAGCACCTAAAGGACGTATGTGTTCCTATCTGTTGAGCGCTTTCTTTGTTTTAGAAAGTCTTGGATATACTTGACATTTGTAAAATTGAGTGATGATTGTTGCTTGAAGTAAACTGGAACCAGTTTTACCTCAAGATCAGCTACATAAAGAATGATGTTATTCCAGCTTGTGCCAAATCATTATTTATGCCAACGAAACAATATGGAATTCTTATCAAATTCGCAAAACGGCAACGAAGGTTGCTGTAATATTATGATCATGTACAAGTAGACAGGTTTTTATAAGTGGTAGCGGTGGTGACATCGAAAAACACGGTCGGTGGGATAACAAAAGTTTTTGCGCATCTTCCTTCGGCATTTTTGACTCCTTCGACAACTCAATGGAAGCGTCACTGTTAACAAGGACTTTTCTGTCAACTTTCTTGGCTGTATAAACCATTATTTTAGTAAACTTGCTTCATACACTTTTGAAATACAAGATACAAATCAAGTTTGAACTTACTGATAAAATATCCGTGATATCAAAATCAAGACGGTTTTCCTTGAGCCCAGAAAGAAGATCATGAGATTCCGATTTTGGCAAACAAAAAAAAAAAAAAACATTGGATTCTTACTTACGTCGACTTTTTACACGGTAAGAAAGGTTGCTGTAATATGATTACGTAGAGGTACGCACGTTTGAATGATCATAATGGTTGTTTACTGGGGTCAATGGCGAAAAACATGAACACGGAAACCACGGAACAACTAAAAAACACTCATCGATAATATTTCCGTGCCATATTGATAAAGTTGCCGACTTTCTGCCACAACTTGGGGTTATAGCTCAGTGGTAGAGCGCTCGCTTTGCAGCCTTAGCACGAATGCGAGAAGCCCAGGGTTCGATCCCCTGTTGCTCCAAAGTTTTCATTTTTTTCCCTCCACATTTTTGCATATGCACATGAAGTTTTTGTTTGAATGGTAAGTGCGAGAAGAAAAAGCACTTCCCCTATTGTTTTTTTTGGCGTTTTTCGCGGCTTTGATCGTGTGGGAGCAGGTAAAAATACAATATTTTCTACGTACTTTTTATGTATGTGTTTAGCTGTTTGCGAAGGGTAGTTTTGCGCTGAATTAAGAGCGGGGTCAGAAAAGGGTTATATACAAGCTCTTTGACATATGACTTGTGATTGTTTCCTTTCTTCTTTGTCTTTTCCCCCCCTCTCTATGAAACTACCCTTACCAAAAAAAAACCTAACCCTTAACTCCATCTCAAAACAGCATGATCAGAAGACATTGTCTTGTCGAGAGTAACATCATAAGTTAATAATCCATCATCGACACCAGTTGCCAACGAAACAAATGGACCGTTGTTTGCGAAATCGTATTGGATCTTGATGTCGACTCCGGGAATCTGAAAAACAAAGTAAACGAAAGATGAAAGTTTTGTTGTGATGGATATCACCCCATTCTATTCACCAGAAAGGGCTGTAAGAACCCATCCGAGGGGGCATATAAATAGAACTTGTTAAACTTTCTTTTGGTCACTTTATATTTTCGTGGCCATTTTATCAAGATTAAAAGAAAAGAACGCGTTTCGTCCAAACTCAACCTAATAATAATATAAAAGTGGTGGGAAAACTGTGGCAGACTTTGATTGATGTCGAGGTTGTTGACTTGTCAGGCCATTCATTCATGATCAGCCAAGACAGAAAAAAATCTTTTACCTTCTCCGCCTTCTGGACGGCCCTTCCACCAGTACAGAAGCTCGTTTCAATATGACCTGGAAGAGTAACTTTCATTCGGGAAGGTTGGAGGATGAAACTAGAAGGATTTTGATGTCACCATTAAGTGGCATTATAGTGACCGGTATGGTTGAAAATCACTTTTTATGTAGTGCATGAGCAGTATCATCGATGTTAACCTCCTCTCCTTCATATATTCTACACTATACGTTGTTGATGCGACCTCTCATTTCATCATCTTCTCGATATCTTTTTTCAACAGTTGTCTCCTCTCTACCTTTTTTATCCGGGCAAACGAAGGCATCCATCCGATCAGGTTGGGACTGTCAGATTAGAGAAAACCCCCGTCAACTTAATCGTCCGGATCATGGGTGGTCTGGAATTCATCAATGAGCAGAAAACGCTCGTCATTTCAAAGAGAACAGATGGAGACGAAAATACGCGTTATAAACGCGAATAAAAGTAAGTATGATCTTCTCGATTCACTGCTGTACTGTATTTTATTTAGATGTTTCCGTCTTTTCTTTCCTTCCTTCTTTCTCTCATTTCTATCTCTTTATGAGTTCAATTACCATCGACATGGATTTCGCGACAATTCATTCTACACAACGAGAGAATTGTCGAACCTCACATTCCTGTCATTGGACGCCTCAACTTTCGTTTTTTTGTTTTCCTTTCATATAATCCACCCCCTCACATTACGGAAAAAGAAAAATAAGAAAAAATAAAGTAAAAAGCACTCCCACCGATCATAACCATACCCCCCCGATCACCATCAAAAACCAATCAGCCAACTCCCAACATGCCAACAATCACAAAGAACGTAAGCAGTCTCGTTCTGTTTTGTTCTATCGCCTGAACTTAAGCATCGTCACTCGTCGTTCGGTGTTGTGTCAATCTTGGCGAGCGCCGCAAAACCGCGCCGGCTATTTATGCGATCAGTCACTGGTTGGTTTTGTCGTGGAAGGGATCTGGAAAATGAGTACTAATGGTGTTATCAAACGCGTGATCAGTACTGTGCTAGGTGGAGTTCTATGTGATGTTGTGGTGGGATGGTGACTGCAATATTTGTGTACCATCATCGGTGGTCTAGCAAAGTCACCACATCTTATTTTGATGTGAAACTGGGTAAATGAGATGTCAAGAAATGAGGCTGTCAAAGGTGTAAAAGGACACAAGATGGGAAGTTTATCTACATTTGATGATCTTATTGAACGGTTCTGAACTTCTTAACAATCCCTCCTTGAACAACTTCAATTGAGATGTTGGTACACTAGTTCAAAGTGATCGCTAAATATATATAACGCCATTTCTTTTGTATTTCATACTTGATTTTCACAGTTCGAACACGCCAAAAAGGAACTGTTTCACCCTTGTGAACGAACAATCTTTGCGGATCGTGTTCGTGAGCGCCAGTTTAAAGAGTTCTACGGCTTCATCGATGATCCTGAGCCTGTTGTTTGTTCGGATTGCAAGGGTAAAGGAAGGTGGGATTTGGAAGAAAACTTTATTGAGTCTCCAGAGACTGGTGACTTGGTTTGCGGGAACTGTGGTATGTGAATTTTTGATTGTGACATTGTTGTGAAAACTGGTTTATAAGCTTGTAGAGTTGACTTTGATACGGCTAATCTTTCAACTATTCTAAGGTCTCGTCGTTATGATAAAAGTGTCCGATGTCGATGAGATCATTAGGGAACGATGGAACGAACTTGAATTTCCCGAAGTCCAGTCCGACCCAAATCAGACGCCAACGCAGCCAGTTGAGGAACCGGACACGCCAACGACCACCTTCTCCGAAGAGGAAACCATTCAACCCCACCTCCAGGCAGCATTAACAACCACAGTTGAGGAACTGGACACTATGATGCTGTCTCCGTTGAGGAAAGCAACCAACCTCACCTTCAGGCAACATTAACAACACCAACCCCCACTACGCCAGGTGAGGCGCCTACCACTACCGTCTCGGTTGAGGAACCCATCCAAACTTACCTCCAGGCAAATTCAACAACACCAACCCCCACTACGCCCACCTTTGATATTGATGTGTCAACTATCAGTGACTCATCAAGTGAATATCAAATGAATCTCGTAGAGCCCGCGCTGTTCAATGATATCGATATACCGAATGAATGGGGCTCTGATAACAGTGAGTTTAAGAGAAGCCAACTTTTTGGCGGTTTTATTGTATCTAAACTTGTTGATTTCTTTCTTTCTTTTCCTTCAAATTTGCAATCTCAACATTCACAAATTCATGCCTTTCCAACCGCAACTTTTGTAACGTGACATCACGTAGTTCCTCCAGCACTGACAACTCCCGCTGTTGGCGCACCACAACCAAACGGGGAAACTACAGATCTCATTAACGATCTGAATTTCAACTCCTCGCAACAGCAAATCAAATTGAATCTCGCAGGGCCGGCGCTTTTCAATGACATCGGTATTCCGGATGAGTCGGGCTCCATTGATAACAGTGAGTTGAGGAGAGGCCAAAGCTTTTAATTTCTTTTTGTATCTAAACTTGTTGATTTCTTTCTTTTCCTTCAAATCGCAATCTCAATATTTACAAATTCATACCTTTCCAACCGCAACGTTTGTAACCTTCCATCACGTACTTCCTCCAGCACTGACAACTCCCGCTATTGTCACACCACAACCAACGGCGCAAACCGCACAAATGACCACAGATCTCATCAACGATCTGAATTTCGGCTTCTCGCAACACCAAATCAGCGAGATGTTTGAAATTGCACATCAATCCATTGACAGTCATCCACCTCTTCCTCCATTACCAGCGAGACGTACGACTTGTGGTTTTCAACCTTGTACTCCTGGCTTTTGCCCACCAAGCCAAGTTCAGAGATCGCGTGTTTCGAGGTTACTAAGGCTTGGCGGAATGGCCGTTATTTGTATCCTCGAAAAGCTGGACATTGACGAAACGTTGTTGTTTGACGTACGAAATACGGCGTTTGGAATCTTGAAAATGGTTTATCAACATGATCAAGAACTGTTCAAGGATGAGATGCTGTCAGGGACGGCCGTGATCGCGTTGTTGATTGCCTTTAAAAATGAACATGTTTACTGTGACCTCGAAAGCATTTTGGAGGCGTCAACTTCGGTGTTGTCACGGCGGGAGATCAGGAAGGTTTATCGGAAGGTTAAAGAGATTGTAAGGGGTAATATGGGAATCGCAAGGGATAACAGGTTCAATAGTATTATACAAATGGACAGTGGGGTCGACATTTCGCGATCAAATGAAGCGGCTGTGGGTGCTACGGGATCTCCCAGTAGGAAGAGAAAACGGGTTGAGGATGATGGAGATGGTCTGCATGAGGATGAGGATTGGTCGAATGGTACCGTGGTCGATGTCAGTCTTGAAGTCCAAGTCCCTTCCTATGGTGTTGTGCCTGGTACCAAGTCCCAAAGTCAAAAACGCCGTCGACATGAAGAGTCTGGGATTTTTGGAAGCATGGAGAAGGTTGTTGTTGGCTTTGGTGATTTGAATTCCCAAAAAACTTCGACCTCTGCGACGAAAAGTCTTGCTACAAATCCCAATGAGGTAACATCATCTCGGAATCCAATAAATTGGCCCTGTTTAAAGCGACAACGAGGTGAAGGGGCGGATTTGGATCAAGATGAAAGACCGACAAAGAAGGGAAAGGAAAAGGTGACGTGATGTCTGTACAGGAGGATGTGATTAGTTCTTAATTAATACTTACTTAGTATCTATTGGTTTGTTTCTTCCTTGGTTTTCTTGAGTTGCTAGATGATTGCATATACCCATTATATTTAGTTCTTTTAGGATTTTTGTGCCCTGAAATAAATTATCATACTGTTCACAACTTTTAATATCCACTTTGCGAAATCTCTTTAGCAAATTAAGAAGCGATAACACAAAGGTTGACGTTGGAAAGATAAAGATTAGGCCAGACGAGACGAAAAAAGAGTATCACACCAAGGTTCAATCATTGAGCTGAAAGGCACTTTTTACGTTGTCATATTTTGAAAACAATCGTTCATTGTATTAATTCCAAAGATTCTTTTGCCACTCTTTCAAAACAATTCGTAATTTCCCAACACTCTTCTTTGTGCGGACGTCAAAACTTTAACTAACATTGGAACCAACAATAAAACGAAATAATGAACTTTCTAACGACTTTGGAAAAATGACAAATAATGATA